GTAGAAGATTCTCGAGAGTAAGAAACAACAATATATGTATATACGTAAATGCTTAAATGTAGCTCAGTATTGTTACCTAAAACTGAAATTTCTGGAATGCCTCCACATGGCTATAAATATAACCAACGCAATGAGCCAAAAAGAGTATCTAGTATTAGTTCGCTATAGTCACTGTGCTATAAACTTTGGAAGCTACAACTGTGATTGTTATAACGGTTAACAATCGTAAAACTTCAGATAGTTAAGTGAATCGTACCTACATCAACTCATAATTAACTTGCTCATCATGAATCCTCGATAAGATATCGAGGAAGTTCCAGCCTAGAAAGAAGACCATATATTGTTTGTAAGTTAGTGAAACTTTGGTTTATAAATCATTGTTTGTAATAACTATTTGTAATAATTGTTATTATAAATGGTACTGTTGCGTGTATATTAAAACGTATTTGTGTTAAAAATGAAAACTGTGTGTATCAATCTTGTTGGCAAACATCATAAACTGACTATATATCGGTTTTGACTTTACTACTAAATCCAAAGTATAATTTAACTAATAAATTTAAAGTAACATTTAACTCGGTTTCAAAGCATTTGAAATTTTAATACGTAACAATGTTAATCCAACTTACGAGATTGAGCGCTTTTTCTGAGTCACTGTCTCCATATTGAGCTAAATCACCAGAACCCTGACTAGTGATGCTGTCTTGAGTGTCATTGGACAAGTCACCATTAATCCCTGGGTCTAAAGAAAGTTAAAGGCTCAAACTTACACAACAACTAAACAAACAAAATGTGATGATTTTCAAGAAATAAGAATAAGCTGGCATTTGATGTCTGTGTGTAACTTATCATAAGGTACAAGTTTTGCTTTTTTTACAGTAAAATGTATCCACATCCATCATCTATAATTTAGAACAATGACTGTGCTTTTAGGTTTTACTTTTAAAAATACTGGTATTAAATTATTTGAACAAAACTAAAATTTATCAAAACACCAGTACCAGTGAAAACAGAATGTAAATAAACAAGATCTTATATATAAATCCCTGTATATTAATTAATACATTTAAGAAAACATAATTAAAACAAATTTCGTCTTATGATATAGATAATTACTTATTTAGACATCTGAAGCAAAATAACTCAAATGAGTTTTTTTGTCTTTGATGTACATAATTCCATTGTCGTGTACTGATAAAAAAAAGGGACAAAAAACCATTCCCTCGAGAACCATTTTTATTTCACGTACTTTCAAAAATACTTTACCATTTATCAAACTGCAATATTATAATGAGCTAATAAGGTATTCCATGTTATATGTATACATACACACATACATACTTATATATAAAGTTTTTATGTGGGAATAAAAAAAAACCTTAAACATATTCTTTTGAAATAAAGTTTGTTACTACATCTACTATTTAAAACAATCCAAAGTTCCTCACATTCTATTATTTATATCACACACTTTATCTTGCAAAACTGACAAAATCGTTTGTTTTTTCAGTAATAAAAAAAACAAAATAAACAAGAGGGAATCCTCAATAGATTTAAAATACATTTAAAATTATTTTAGGCAGGATTAGAGTAAATTAATCTATGAGATCTTGGGTGTGGTCAAATACATCAATCGAAAGGGTTTGATCCCCTGAGTCCAAAACTGTAATTAAATCTCAAATCGGGCAAGAGACGATGGAGCTATGAGCCAAAAGTTTGTACTTGCTTGTTTTGAATTTTGCACAAAGCTACACGAGGGCTATCTGCGCTAGTCGTCCCCTAATTTAGCAGTGTAAGACTAGAGGGAAGGCAGCTAGTCATCACCACCCACCGCCAACTCTTGGGCTACTCTTTTACCAACAAATAGTGGGATTGACCGTCACATTATAACGCCGCCACGGCTGAAAGGGCGAGCATGTTTGGTGGGACAGGGAATCGAACCCGCGACCCGCAGATTGCGAGTCAAGCTCCTTAACCACCTGGCCATGCCGGCCCACGGGCCGTTTGTACTTGCAAAAAAAACAACAACAAAGTCAAAGCCGTTCTATCCGCCGCTATGCCGTGCCAAAAAACATGTTACGCCACACGATGCCCTAAACATATGACAGAAGTTATAAAAAATCAAGTTTCTTTTTGACATAGTATGGATAGCGAAATACTCCCCCTTCAACTTCCCCAGCTTACTGTATATAATTCAAACTTATAATCTAATAATATATATATAATTACTTACACATACAAATCTCCTTACAGCACAAACTGAGCATAACTATTGCCTAAAGGTAAGAACACAGACACTTTCTTTATTATACCTAGGTCAAACGAAAAACAGCACTAATACCATCTTCTAGATGATTTTGTAACTTATCCAGTGATTTTTTGTGTGCAAATATTTAAAAATATGTGGAAGTGACACTTAAAAACATAAAATACAGAAAAAACAACAACAACAAAAAAAAACGAAGAATAATCGTTTATACAGCAAAACAAGTGTGAAACATTATTCATATAATTAGATATATGGATGACAGACATCCGGTCTCATTCTTTGATAATAATAGCAACTTTATTCCATGAACGGAAAACTATATGTATATTTAAGCCCGAAAATAATCAATCTTATCATCAGTGGTGACACACTAGACGGATAGGTCAGTTATTCACGCAACTCCTGCTGCGTGGTCTTTCTTACAATCAACTGTTAAAGCACACATTTACAACGAACAGAAACGGCAAGGCTGACTAGATTCAGAAAACAATCTCAAATTCCTGGGCGCTCGTGTTTGTGAGAAGGCTGCTAGAACTGACCGAAGTTATTCCCGAGGAAAATGTCTATCACCGAAAAATAAAAAAATCCCGCAGTACTCGTTCTACTAATGCGTGCTCAAATCCAGCTGCAAATTAAATTGTGGCACACACACCCTAGTCTTGTATTCTTTTTTCTGTGTAGCCTTGTCAATAGCAGATCAATCACTCTAAATGAAAGTGCAAAACGCACTCTACTCAAAATTGATTTTTTTATTAGTTTTTGTATTCTACTATTGCAAGAAGGCTAGCGAACATAAGCTCTATGACCCCGGGGGCAAGCATCACGTGCAGTAGCAAGTTGGAGTTACTGGAGAAAATCACTTATACCTAAAACACAAGAGGCTATGTTTGAATGCAATGAAGTGACAATGAGTTTAATACAGGTAGGCAAGCGTGGATGTGCTTCTCACATTAGGCCTAAGGGGTGCCTTGGTTTCTCTCAATTTACCCAAGCGAAGACAAGATCCATCGAAATTCTGATAAATGAACATATGTTGTAGGATTTTTTTCGCTTGTATGAAACGTGAACAACAAAATGCTTTCCAAGAAACCTTTGCTTATAGTGCCAATAGAAACAGATAGGTTCCACGATTTTTACATTCCGATGACTTCCGTTATATTTCACGTTAAAAAGTACTTAAAATTCCTTATATCTCCTCTTGTGTACTTATAAAGCTCAAAAAAGGCTCAAAGTTTCTAATGTTTCCACCAAATATCCTAAGACTTACAGCTTCTCCAAACGGTTTAATGGCTTTTTCAAACAAGTATTACAAGAAAGGCAAATATCATAATAGTATTGTCATTTTATGAAGAGTGTCGCCCAGTCCAAGATCTGAAACTTGCTAATTAACAACACTACATTTCTGGTGTAACATTTACATACGTTTCTAATAATATCATTAGAATAGTTATTAGAAACATATTAAACATAATGTTTTAAATTTATAACTTTGCTACGTTGTCAACGAAAATTTTCGTTTTTCAACCTGAATTACAGAAGATCTGAATTTATTTTCTATAAAACAAAACAACAACAAAAAGGAACACCCTCCTGTTAAATTGCAGTTGTGAACTCGAGAACAATATTAACATTATTTCCACAAATTCTATAATGATTTTTTTTCATGATATAGTTATTACACGTGAAATACAATTTTTACATAACTTACTTGCTCTCTTCATGACTGATGTAATTAGGGAAATGATATTTTATAACATAGAAAATACAATTTTTACATAACTTACTTGCTCTCTTCACGACTGATCTAATTAGGGAAATGATATTATATAACATAGAAAATACAATTTTTACATAACTTACTTGCTCTCTTCACGACTGATCTAATTAGGGAAATGATATTTTATAACACAGAAAATACAATTTTTATATAACTTACTTGCTCTCTTCAAGACTGATCTAATTAGGGAAGTGATATTTTACATAACTTACTTGCTTTCTTCAAGACTGATCTAATTAGGGAAAGTCATAGAATCAATGGCTCAAATTTTGTATTTATATTTTTAGTAACACTTCTAATCTCACAACCGATTTGCAAATGTTTAACAAAAACTTCTGAAGTTTGAGCTTTCTGTTAGATCTACAAGTATCATTTAATAGTTTGTTTTGAATATTCGCGCAAAGCTACTTAAAGAAAACCTGCGATAATCGTCCTTAATTTTGAAGTGATAGAATAGAGGAAAGTCAGCTAGTCGCAGCACCCACCACCAGCTATTGGGCTAATGGAATATTGGGATTTTACTGCCACTCTTATAACGCACACACGGTACTAAACTGTGGAGCGTAGTTTTGTGGTAAAGGGACGTAGCCTATGGTCCTTCTGGTTCAAAGCAAGGTATATAATTACAAGAAATGTCTGGCCCAGTTTTTATTAACTAAATAATATCTAACATCACCGTCGTTGCCTCAAAATTTGATGGTTTTAGTAATAAACTTTTTGTAACTATAAGATTATTAATTTTATTAGCAACACGTGAAAATTCACTAGTCCATTATGTATATAACAGATAGTACAGGGCTTAGTAATCACACGTTAGTCCACTGTTGTTATAGAGTTCAGTGACAACACGTTAGTTCCTTATATTTACCAGAGTTGTTACACAGTTATGTGACTACAAGTTAGTTCCTTATATTTACCAGAGTTGTTACACAGTTATGTGACTACAAGTTAGTTCCTTATATTTACCAGAGTTGTTACACAGTTATGTGACTACAAGTT